ACAAGCCACTTTGGGAACTATTTTAAAGATGTATGCCGAAACTTTTCGTCATCGTGACGTCATCAGGGGTCACGTGACATCTATTTATAGATTCAATTTTTACAGCCTTATAACTATAGAACTATTTGACCAATTGATCTCAAATTTGGTAGGTATACAGACAGGGAAGTGTTATAAATGAAAATTGATAAGTCAAGGTCACATGACCTTCACTTCCGGTTTTACCGGAAGTGGTTATTTTAGACCCTTATATCATATCTCATGAATTATTAATCTGATTGGGTTGAAACTTCACATTGATACGAAGCTATATTGACAGATAATTATATTGCATTATTTTTTATACTGTGCACTTAATTATTGTTATGTTATGACGTCATTAATATTTAATGAGGCAATTTTTTCAGTCCTATAACTATAGAACCATTTGTCCGATTGATCTCAAACCTGGCAGGTATACAGACTGGGAAGTGTTACACATGAATATTGGTATATCCGGGTCATGTGACCTCTACTTCCGGTGTTACCGGAAGTGTTAATTTAAGACCCTAATTATCATATCTAATGAATTAGAAATTTAATTGGGTTGACACCTTATATTAGTATTAAGCAACATCAAAGGATAAATATGTAGCATTATTATTAATGGGCAGTTTAATGTTTTCATGTTATGACGTCATGAATATTTAATGAGGCAATCTTTATAGTCCTTTAACTATAAAACTATTTGACCGATTGATCTGAAACTTGGTAAATATATAGACCGGGAAGGGTTATAAATGAAAATGTATATGTCAAGGTCTCGTGACCTTTACTTCCGGTTTTTACCGGAAGTGCAATTATGTAAGATAATAATTTCAATTTTACAAGTTAGAGATTTTTGCAAAAATCATTACATTATTTTCTACTATCCAATAGACAATCAAAAACAAGTTGGGAACAGCTCTGTGGTTGTTCAGTTACAACCACATCTAGTTTTTTTTTTTTTTTCTTTTTCCACTTTTCCCCATAGGTTTTGTACACGTTTTTATTCTACAAGCCACTTTGGCAATTATTTTAAATCCGATCAACTTTAAACTCAGCATAGTTATTAACCATCATCTGAGGATGTGTTCCGAAACTTTTCGTCATGCTGATGTCATCACGTGATTTATTATAGAATTTTGAATATTTAATTTTTCCCATAGACTTTGTACACAGAAATTTAACAAAAAATGTCAATTTTCAGAGGGCATTTTCGACTCTTTGCCAGTAATTCATTTACACCAATCTTTGTCCAAGCAAAGACCCTAGTTCAAACAACATTGTGTAATGATGACGTCATGATGACGTCATCCGGTTTTTATTTATAGGCAATTTAATTGTGACACTTTTAATATTAAAAAATGCATAAGAAATCAACCGTACGCGTCCGCAGCATTCTGTTGCCGGCAAGTGGTAGAGTAGGTTGAGGTCTTTATTTCATTCAGTGTGCGTGAAATCACGTGACCCTTGCTTCCGGTCGAAAAAGGCCAAAACCGGAAGTGGCTTATTATTTGAAAGTGGTAATAGATATGAACTTGCTTTCAACGGTGTTAGTCTTTGGTTGATAGTATTCTTCAAATCATCTACCGATGACGTCATGCAATCTTCGAGCGCCCTCTAGCGACAGGTTGAAAATTTTCAAAAATGTATTTTGAATAGATGTCTGTGGCGAAGTTTGTCGGAATCGCCTAAATATTGGTGTATATGATGACCTTGACCCACTTAAGACGTGTGCGAAGTTTAAGGTGTATGACGTCATCAGACCGGAAGTTATAATGAAAAGACCCTTTTTCCTTAGAAAATTCCTGAAAAATCAACCATGGCAGTTTTTATATTAGTTTTTACTTTAGTTGTCGATTGAAGGGTAGGTCTAAAACATTTGAAAGCTCTGAGGCAATAAGCAAACTCGGAAATGCCCTGCGCACGCTTAAAACTTCAGGTGGATAATACCTCTGCTTTGAAACATGCACAGGACGTCCACAATGTACAGTACATGTACATGTACATGCACGTACGTTGTACATATCGTATGTCAGTCAGCCCGCGCACAGCGCACGTGTTGCTTAGGTCAAATCCTGTCCACAGTGACCGTTTTAGCCGATTTGCGGCTAACTTTGACAGATTTTATGTTCATGCATAGTCAGGGACGTATTATTGATAAAAACAAATCATAATTCAGAAAAGCCCTATCTTCTGTTGCAAACAGACATAGATCTCTACTTATATGTATATGGGTCCAACAGATAATCAATATTGGGAACAGCTCTGTGGTTGTTCACAACCACAATTTCTAGTTTCTTGTTGAAAAGCGTAATAATGTGGGAAATTCTGTAAAACATATCTGTGTTGTAAATTTACAATTCCCGTCACTTGCTCAGGCTCCGTTTCGAATCACGAACGGTCGGATTGCATTATGCGGCGCTCACAATTTTGTCCACATGGTCCGTAATGAAACAGAAATCACATCCGCTATGAAATGTGCGCAATTCTATGGAAAGTTTTCGGATAGCACTTGCGCACATTGTCAAACTGCGGTCTTGAACAGCTGCAGCCAGATGCTTTGTACATAGGTCATAGGCCACTTCCTTCACAAGATTCTGTGAAGCTCATCAGAGTATCCCAGTGTCCTGTTTGCAGGGCCTGGGTTACGAGCGAAGAGATCAGGCAGCCTCCGTGGCTAAAACTAATCATGACGACATTGACGGCACTTTTAAAAACCTGCACTCCGATCAATTTTTTTAATAAATCACTTACTTCATAATATCATGTTATGTTAATACAATTTGATATTTCTGTAAGAAAACGTTGACTAATGTTCATCTAGAATCTTCAAAGTTAGGCACCCTAATAGAACTGTTAGCAGGCGGAGCCGAATGAAGATCCGCCGAGTTTTGGAAAATGCCGGTAACTGTCGTCAAATTCAAAACTGTACATGACGCAGCAACATGACTACCGCCAGTGTTGTAGTCGAGACCGGATAGTCCGAGACCGAGACCAAGACCGAGACCTGAGGATTCGAGACCGAGACCGAGACCAAGACCAGCCCCTTCAAGGTGGACCGAGACCGAGACCAATATGGTCCGAGACCGAGACCGAGACCGAGACCGCTGATAATAAATAACAATAGTCGAAATAAAAAACAAGACACGTTATTATAGTTGAAAGTTGTAACCTTTCTATTCACAAAGATTACAGACCAAAATTTTGACCAGTGGCAGTGTTGACAAATTGATACATGACACCTTACTTGAGCAAAAAGTAGTTACACTTAAGAAATATGGGCTTTGACATGTTGTCTGCACCCAATCGTGACAAAAGTAAAAAGTTAAAGGTAGATGTTTCATCTGTTATAGGAACTCGGATCCTAAACTCCACAGTCACCCCTTGGTTTCAGCTATGACTTCTAACGGATATTTAAAGATGCAATTTTAATTTTACATTGTGCCTTTTTTTTTTCCTAAAATAAATATAGGACTTAACTTCTAACAAGACTTGTGTACTTGATTTTAAAAAATGGGAGCTAGAAAATGTTGAATTAATTTTAAAATTTCTGTCATAGAATGTGGACTTGTACATGTAGACCCACAAGTTGCGAGGTGGTAGCCAGAATGTGCTAGATATGGATTTTTATTTTTTTTCTGAACGGGATTTTAATTTTTGAGGAATAATGGGGTACTTTAAAATGAGCAGCCAGAAAATGGGGTCTCATCATACACTCTCATGGCAACAGTGAGTGGTAACTGGTAAGAGTGTATGAGTTCAATGCTGGAGAATCAGTAGGAAAATTTACTTTTTCTTCAAAATACTGTCCCAAATTAAAAAGAACATTGTGTGGGGTCGAAAATATAACTAATTTGAAGCACCTCATTTATTATCAGAATACAAAATGTAAGTGATTACGCCACAGGGGTGGGCTAAACTACACAATCCCCGAAAATGGCAGGCCCTTATTGCATAAATTGTTACAAGTTTATACTTTGCTTTATGTGCCCGACACAACATACAAATGCCGAACTTGTTCCAAATCGTTCAGTGACTGGTACTGCTGCACCTTTACATGTACTTTTGGGACTTTCCAACGTGCAGTCGAGTCCAAACCGACCACGATATAACAAGCTTGATCTACGGGCTAGCAAATGTTTTAACTATCAACGGTACTGAACGAAGTGAACACAAAGTAATCGATCAAGCTGTAAAAGCTACATATTGCCGGTCTCGACCCGAGACCAGCCAAAATATCGAGACCAAAGGGGACCGAGACCGAGACCAAGACCGAGACCACAGCTTCCGAGACCGAGACCGAGACCGAGACCAGCAAAAAGTGGTCTCGAGACCGGTCTCGAGACCGAGACCGGTCTCGAGACCTACAACACTGACTACCGCACGGGTAACCTGTGCGACAGTCCTGTGCGTGATCATCACGCGCACGCTTGGTCAACAGCAAACATAACGGGCACGTGATGGTGAATTGACCAGTGAGAGTGCGGCTCTCGATCATGAATAATTATGTATGAGGTAAAGTGACAATTACTGTTTTACAGCATATTGTTTAAAGAATATCCAAATCGAGATTAAATTAGTTCGCACTGATAAAATCTTCGGCATGAAATTTGGCGACTGTTGTTTGTCCAATTTGAAGCGATATTTCGCCCTTTTTATTTAAGAGACTCATACAGTAACAGCTGACACTGGCATTTCAAAAATATCTTAAAAGACGAAAAAGAAGATTCATTTTTTTCATGACAAAAACTCCATTGTTGCTTGTCCTTGGGCCCCACTGAGCACTACCTGCGTTATTTTTTCCCGTTTTTGAAATCAACCGAGTTGTTGGCGGTTACAATGGAAAAAGCTTAAACTGTGTAGGCCCTATACATTTTTAGATTGAAAAACAAAAAGTCTTGCTGGTTCAAACTGCAGGTTAGCCTTCTTGCCAAGCGTTTCGTTTCTTACCAAGCATTTCGTGATTTTCTTTCCAGAATACTGCAAAACAACAAACTTGCTTCTGTGCCTGAAGATCTGTTGGCCAACACGACAATTCTAGAGAGATTGTAGGTGTATTTTCATGAAGAAATTTTCCCATTCCACATTCATTTTTATACTTATATGAAAAACAACCTAGTAGTGAAAATGAAACGTGTGTTCAGAACAATTCTCAAATTCAGACGAAAATGAGTGACAGATTTTCAGAAGTGAATAAACATTTTGGGAAATTGGCCGGGAAAAACCTATATTTTGTTAAAAATATCTCGACAAAAAATTAACAATTTTCTCCGGCACATTCAGAGCTTGGAACGCTTGTAACACCAATAAACGTTATGCTTCGTCATAAAGTCTCCATAATTATAGGCTTTTAAGTGGACACTTAATGAAATGCCTTCTTGTGGCAAATAGAGTACTTTCTATTTCTCAGCATTGATTAGGCAAGGAAAAAGGCTTGGATAATAGCTAATTTTACTGCAGTCTAAAAACCATGATTTTGTCTCATCCATTATCTTTGTCATGACTACCTGAAGGAGCCTAGCGTCGAATCAGTTAACTACAATGCCCAATGGATTGTTAAGGTCACAGAGCAAGATGAAGTATCTGTACCTGCAGCGTAACCAATTGACGGTCCTCAATGACAAAATCTTCAAGGGTTTGCAATCATTGATGCAATTGTGAGTACATGTTGCATTCTATTTTTAATGATGTATATGCCGCCCAAACCAATGCCGTGTTAAGACCGATGGATTTTCATAAACAAAAAGCTTTTTTTCTTTCCGAATTAGGCCATCAGCCTAGGGGTTTGGTCAGTATCAAATTAGGGCATAAATGATTACAGCGCGCATGCGCAAGGTAAACCGCCCTAGAATGGTAACGAGCATTTTGATGGACATTTTGACAAAAAGCTGCCACCGCTGCAATGCTATCACATTTTTCTCAACTCTGGAGGTGAGTACCTTGCCAAAAATCGCTATGAGGATTATTCCCCTCATTTGATACCAATGGCCAAAATTTTGGACCGAGGCTGATAGCCTAAATGCTTAAAAGGGTACAGGCCTCGACTGGAGGTGTGGTGGTGGGGGGGGGGGGGGGGGGATTCTCTCCCCACGTCGCCGGCCGTGGAACCTTTATTTATGCCACTATTGTCGTACCATCACTGTGAAATGGTTACCAGATAATTTTCACCTTACTGGCACGACAACTAAACCCTTTTTACGCAGAATATTATGAAATAATGCGTAATCTTCACCTCTTTAAAATGGTATAATGGGAAGCATTTTCTAAGCCACTGAAAGGAAGTTTCCTTAAATGTGTCTCTTGGTATTAGAATTTTCAGCATTCGAGACCTGTTATTTGTATCCTATTTTACAGAATGATTTTTGATAATCCACTTATTGAAGTAGCTGACCGTCTCTTTTTTGACACCCACCTTACACACTTGTGAGTATAATGTTTATTGTTTTAACAATTCGTTACGTTAGGATAAGATGAGCATTAAACAATTCATTTTACCAGGTGCAGGTTATTCATCAGATGAGATGGATTTGCGTTGGGGTGATGTGAATTCGAAAAGGTTTTGCCCTTCACCGACGTGTAAACACTGAAATACTCAGTGTGGTACGTCCCCCTAGTGAAAGTGAGAAAATAAAATCACTCGGATGGCAAGCTTTCTCGCACAGACGTCTTACCACTCGACCACCGAGCTTGCGGTATCGGTTGGCTGGGTCGAATCTGATGTAACAGCGAGTATTGCAAGAAACTATTGGAAGAGTGGCAGGTGTTGTTATTACTAAAGCAGAGTTCTGGGAGGTAGTCTGCCCAATGTCGCTTTTTACACTCCACACTATCTAATGTTTGGTAGGCATGGGAGACTCCCTGTTGACTCGATGATTGCCCCCTTTGAAACTGAAGGCAGTGTGAACTCGGACGACTGGGTATCCAAACATCACCATCGCCTACAGTTCTCCCATCGCATCGCCAGAAAGACTCTTGAACAGTAAACAAAATCCGATACAAAGGGGATATCCAAGATGGCGGCCAATATGGCCGCCAAACGATGTTATAAAAGCATAAATAAAAAAGATTATTTTTATGTTTTAGACCCTCAAAAACTCGTTTCATGGCGGTCATTTTGGTGGCCAATATAGCCGCTAAATTGGTAAAAACTGGAAAAAGTCATATGTCAGCCCAAAAAACCCCAAAAATCATAAATAAAATTGTAAGTTTTATGATTTTACCCTCACAAATTTATTTCTGGTATCCCTTTTTTTGCCATCATGCTTCAAATGCATGATGGCGGCTAAGATGGCAGCCGATTTGGCAGCCAAAATGGTAAAAAAACATCGAAAAAAAGTCGTATATCAGCCAAATAGTGTGATAAAAGCATCAATGAAATTGTTAGTTTATATTCTTTACCCCGCAAATTCATTTCTGGTATCCTTTTTTTTCGCTATCATGCTTTCAAAGTCAAAATGGCGGCCAATATGTCGGCAAATATGGCAGCCAATATGGCTGCCTATTTGGTAAAAAAGGGGAAAACGTCATTTATCGATCAAAAAATGTAATAAAAGCATCAATAAAATTCGTTTTTTTTTTACCCTTGCAATTCATTTCCCGTATCTCTTTTTTGCTATCATGCTTCAAATTCAAGATGGCGGCCAGGATGGCCGCCAATATGGCTGCCAAAAGTAGCGGATGTGAGGAAAATGATATATATCAGCCAAATAAAAGGGTAAATGCATTTATTTAATTATTAGAAATATGCTCTAAACCTTTAAAAATACATTTCATGCATTCTTTTGTTTTGGTACCATGAACCAAATTCAATATGGCTGCCAATATTGCTGCCAAAATGGTCAAATTTGAGAATAGCCATATATTGGCCAAAAATGTAAGTTGGAATTTTTCTTACTTGCAAAGATGTTCCACATTCAAGATGGTGGTCTAAGTGACCCTAGTAAGGCCTGGCTTCCATCACCGGCCGGTTTAAGTACAGGCTAGCCGGTACCTCGGCCGGTTAGTTTAATCCTCTTCAAACCGGCCGAGCAACCGGCCACACTCTGGCTGAGGCACCCACTCACTACAGGTGATCTATTGTGTTCATGCCTGATAATTGCAGGTCCAACATCTGGGACCCAACAATTAGCGGTATTTAATCCACCTAATCCTCCATGTGCAACAAAAGGCCTTAAGTGCGTGACTGCTATTTATTAACTGGCCACTTTCCTCGGGAGTCAGTTACAGGTGAATGGTTATGATAAATACTTCGGGGTTCTCTACTTCTTCTTTCGGTAGATTTTACTTTCATAGAAACCACACTATTTGGCTGATATATGACTTTTTTCGATGTTTTTTCTACCATTTTGGCGGCCATATTGGCCGCCATCCCGGCTGCCATCATGCATTTGAAGCATGATAGCAAAAAAGGAATACCAGAAATGAAGGAATACCAGAAATTTTGTGAGCGTCAAAATCATATAACGAACAATGTTATTTATGATTTATCATACTATTACGCTTATATATGACTTTTTCATTTTTTTACCAATATGGCGGCCTATTGGCCACCAAATTGGCCGCCATTTGGATTGGAAGCATGATAGCAAAAAAAAAGATACCAGAAAAGATTTTTTGAGGGTCTAAAACATTTAACTTACCTTTTATTTTTGCTTCTATCACATTATTTGGCTGATATATGCCCTTTTCCCAATTTTTACCTTTTTGGCGGCCATATTGGCCGCCATCTTAGATATCTCCTTTGCATCAGATTTTTTTCACTGTTAACATCCGAAATGTGATTAAGGACCCTAAAAGGCACCAAAAAAGTTGGTGAAAGTAAGTTAGGGGTGGGGGGGGGGGGGGGGGGGGGGGTTGCACGGGGTCCCCCATACATACTCAACTATTAGGTTGTGCCGTATACACACTTGAGTCTACAGTGTTTATACGTCGGTGAAGGGCAAAACCTAATATTGAAGGTTAATCTCTCCTTTGAATACATTTTCAGTTTTGATCTTCACTGGATTGAGGTTAACATCACTGTGTGTGCCTGCTCATGCTATCTGAGAGAAAGCTTGCGAGAATGAAAAAAAGTTTACTGGGGTGGGGAGTCGAATCTACGACCTCCTATTTTCTGTTGCAGACGTCGTGAACTTTGGCGCTCGTTCTTGTCTGCCAAAAAGAACACCATCAATAGCGACTCCTAGTGTCAGATGTGATCCCCACCGCATCTCTACCTTTCAATTACAAAAAAAAGGGAAAGAATGCAGCCTTTCACACTGGGTTGCCCTTTCTCTTGCTATAATGTTTGGCACATAATAAATATTCGTTTTGGAATTTTATCTTGGTTTTCTGCAAGACAAAATTGATTAAAATATCACTTGGAGGTGGGTAAAAATGAATTTCACTTACGACCTTTCACATCCTGCATCTTCGTTCCCAGATCTCCTCGATCTTCACTTTTATTTTACATCGCATAAAACGAGAACGTTTACAGACGGAGTGATTTACTTGCAGACGATGGGTTCTAGATTTTAATAGTCCGGCTGGCTTGACTGCAGTGTTTATAAGTGGTCACTTTTTCGTAAATGCTAATGCTTCTTTAGATTTATTAAAAAAGTTGTAATTTCAAAAACCATCTCGATCTGGCATTTGACAGTCAGTTTTCACGTTTCTTTTACGTTAGGCGATTGATCACTATCCGCAAATTGATATGCTAGTAACAATGTTACAAAGGCCCCTTTCGGGGGGTGATTTCTTAAGAAATCAAAGTACCAAAAATAATGGCAATTAAGCTTTAAAGAGATGTGCTTCTCAAATACCTTGGAGAGTTGTGAGTATTTTATATATTTTTTTGAAGTGGGTGTAATTACACTGAGGTCTATTGCATTTTTTTTTATGGTCTGCAACCATCATGGGGATCCTGAGGTCATGGAACCAGACTCTTAATGTCAACCTTTCTTTTCGACCAATTCTTAATCCAGTGTATGTACACCATGCCTTTACTGCTTTCCTATAGATACATGTTCCAGACGAATCTTTCAACTTTAGGAATGCGACCATTCGCTACTGTGAATAACACGATCGAACAGTTGTAAGTAAAGCCGAAAGCAGATTTATGTCTGTCAAAACATACACAGAACATTTCATTTAATTGTTCACTGTTGTCATTTTACATGGTGTTTCAGTTAACTAAGCCTGTTTAGTATAAGCCAGAAGGATACTAAGTTGTTTTATTCAATCCCTTAAACGGAGTTTCAACGAGTTGAGAAAAGGAAAATGATTAAAATATTGATTGTAGCAAAATGTAGTTTTTTATAATGACTTTGTTCTTTGTGCCCTCTTGGCGTATCCAGGTCCTTATACGGCAATTATTTTGAGTCAATACCGGATGATGCGTGGCAAGACTTGGCTGCTAATTCTTATATGTAAGTCAGCAAATAATACAAAGTTCACGTTTTGTTTTAATGGGTGTTCGAATGATCTTACTTTTCAAATAAACGACAGCATTATACAGGGTGAGTAATAAAAAAAGAAAACCAAATGGCAGGACCATTTTCTTAATGAAGTCCATTCTGCATGGAACACTTCTAGGATATGAAAACCCAATACATACGCTTTTTTAGTACAAGAATCATTCAAATCACTCATATACTTTTCAAGTTACGGAATTTTAAACACAATCACAGTTCAAAACTTGTGTTCACGGATCACCAAAAAGGTGTGTGTGTTTTTTTTTTACAGCAAAACGAAAACAATTCCTTTGTGCATTGTTTTCGTTTTGATAAAAGAAGTCTTATACCTTTCTTTTGTGAGCCGTGGACAGAATGTTCAAATTATAGTTGTGTTTAAAATTCTTAATCAAGTTCTATATGTAGCTATTGAAAAGTACATGAGTGATTTAAATGATTCTTGTAACATGCAGAAATTCATTAAAACATTGGTGCTGCCATTTGGGTTTCCTGTTTTTGTGTGACTCACCCTGTATATGATTTAACATTCAGCAGCAAAAGCATAACCTAAAGCAGCAGCTAACAACAGTGTTAACCGGTCCGGATTAAGAGAAGGCAAACCAGCATAAATGTTTCAGACTATAGTGTGACTAGCTGCTATAAGGGCGTCTTCGTGCAAAAGTGGCGTACATCCTGGCTAGTCAGGGGAGTCTTCCTCTCTCACATCATAAGACTATGCCCTGGCAAACCGAGAACACGTAATATTTACTATTTTGACTTTGCGCGATTAATAGCACTTCCATGGGTGGGGGTGTACCCCAAACGCCTCCCATAGCTACGCCGCTGGCTCTCTTATTGGTCAACATGCGCCAGAAAAGAAAAATTACGGTACCTCGAAGATCAAGAATCATGAATACATGTATTCAGTGCGTAGGGAAAGTCTACGCAGACAATATGATTGGCTGACGACAAGCGTCGAAATAGTAAATACGTGGACTCCAGCATAGTTTTGCGACGTGAGAGAGTCAGACTACCGTGTCTAGCGAAGATGAAGGTGCAAGGAATCAAAGGTTGCATCATATCACGGAATATGGCACCGGTGTGATCTAAAAATATTCCTTTGCATCAAAAAGTTGTTTTTTGGAGGTTACTTATTTTTAGTTTAATTTAGTTTAGTTGATCATGCGTGTCTGTTCAGAACAGAAAAACAGTCATTACTCTTATACCTTGGGAATATTAAGACCACAGCCATTGCATGAAATTAAAACGAAGCACCGAGCGACTTGTAAACCTCAAAGCCGTTATAGCGTCCAGCATTATTCTGAAGTTTTATAAACATGCGATCAAAGAAAATCAAGGCGTATAATGTTAAATATAACGATCTTCTGGGGACAAAAATGTATTAGGCTAGATTTGTCTCCCTCAAGACATGATGTTCCTATCATACAAATCACTTATTATAGGTTTTCCCGGAAGATTTTGGAAAATGTGTACATGAATTTGTGAAAGAAGCATTCGTTTTCGTGCGAAATAGAATGAATGCTCCAAATCCCTGTTTCTATTTAACAAATGATAATTCAATTTCCATGAAGGTGCATTCAGTCGTAAAAAAATCAGCGTACGATTTCCCGAATGTGCACTGCATTTAGTATATTGACATTTCATTTTAGCGCAAAATCGAAGGCACATCCGCAATCCTGTATTCCTTTTAATTTATCATTAATCTATTTCGCTAAATGTGCAGTCGATTTCCCGTGCAGTTTTACTTAACGTATGCCTGGTCAAGCATTGGAATTCATTTATGTGTTCACAAAAGTAACACATGAGAAATGTTTGATTGAATAATTGAATGTTTGAATATTCATGATGATTGAACTAATCCAAGTCGTGTAGCCTTTTGAAACATACCAACTATTGTGATAAATCCTATATAAAAACCTAAGCTGAAGACAATCGTTCTTTTTTTGTTCAGCATTTGCCACGAAAGCATCATATAACCAAGCAATCGAACTGATAAAATGAGAGAGAACATTAAGAAATACAGAAAGACATTAGAATACACTTAAGACAAAGATCCAACAGCAAAATGTTCCCAGATATCCCCTGACACTTGATGTTTCCCTTTACCGTCCAATAATATGCCTACAAGATTATTTTGGTAAGATTTATATCTTTTTCAACATTTCATTTGCCTATTTCAAATAGACCTTTGTGTATATAAGAACAACCACATTCATGATCAATTAGGCCTACAATACATTGATTAATTAATGATTTAAGTATTCAAATAATTTACTCCCATATTGTTTCAACATATTGTATTCAAATAATTCTCCCATATTGTATTCAAATAATTTACTCCCATATTGTTTCAACAATTTCTTTACTTTCACCTCAAATATTCATTCATATAATACTAAAAGCGTTTCAAAGCAAAACCTTTACGTTTATTCCAGTAGAACGTCAATGTTGAAAAACGGCCTTGTCCACCGGGGCATTGACCTTTGGAACAGGCTGAGTGATTCAGTTAAATTATCGTTGACTTTATCTACATTCATCAAAAAAATGAAAACTCAATTGCTTAACTCTTATAATGTCTGATGAATAATTATTTTTACTCCTGTTTGTTTTGTTATGTTCCTGTTTTGTCCCTGCGTTTTTGTCCCTATTCGTAACTTGTATGGTAAAAGTAGGTATTTGTCCACAGGTTGGGGTACAAAAGCCATGCTTCACCCTATACCTAACGTTGTTCCAGTATGTATGTTGTTGATTTATGATAAATGTTGGTTTGAATTCAATTTATATCCAATTATAATACATGTAATTATAACATTAATTTTGTGTATTAATGAACAACGTTGAATAAATGTCTAGCAAATTGAATGAATCTATGAAAGCTGAATCATGATTTGTATAGGCCTGCATAAATTTAATTAAATTGAATGCAGAATATGCGAATTCAAATTATAACAAATGAAAAGGAATGTTCAATTCAGCCCGTGTCACAATAAAACATCGATTTCTTTTTGCGAATAGATTGCACATTCGTAATAATCGGCAATGCATCCGTCAAACCGAAAGCCTAATCACGTATTTGTAATCCTTTAAATGAAACGTTATGCACATTCATTTATTATTAAATCGAATGCTAGTTATTGCGAAAATGAAACCACGATATACGTCGTTCTCAAAATCAGCGCCAAATTGAATTTCTGTTTTACAAATTCAAATGCACATTTTCCAAAATTGTCCGGGAAAACCTTTATTACGAAATGGTTTATCATGCATGATAACGAAGATGAAGACCTTGTTTTGAAAGCAAGTGGAAGATTAAAAACAAAGTAATGTCTAAAATCTTTAATCTTGCCGTAAAATGTCAAATGTTTCATTTACATCCTCAACTTAAAATCACTCGTGATTTCAATTAAAAATCAATGTTATACAAATACAATTAAGCCCACGTCAAAATAGATGCGGTAGGATGTTTCACAGCATGTATTTCTGTGTTTGAGGTTGCCTTTATATAGTTCCATGCTTTCTTCTTTATCGTCTTCCATCAGATCTGTTGACAATGTTCTAAAGTTTGCCCCATCCACAAATAGGACGGACCTGAAGATGTAAGTGTGATACTGTTTTTTCATATCATAATACATAAACCTCACCAACATTCCGTCTCTTGATTGGCCGAAAACGCGTTACAGTTTTTCGCTAATTTTGCACCTAAGTGAGTTGGACTAGTTTAAATTCCTCACTCAAGTATTGTCACCTGGTGAATTAGACTGGTTACCTATCTCAATCACTGACTGTCACTTGTGACTTAGACAGCTTGGGCTGCTTGTACTTTCATAATACACGTGTTGGCAATAAATCAGTCTCCATGTGAACGGTGAAATAGTAGTTTTCATTTCCATCATTTTGCCACTACAGCTTATATCCTTCGACCCCTTGTAGCCATTCTGAACTAGTTGACCAGGATGTGCTCTGAGAGCAGCTGTACTATGCTTGCCTGGTCGAGATAGACCATGGACTCAATGTACATGAACTATTGATGGCACTTCGTCACCACTGACGGAATGACGTGGATATTAGTATTTGTGTTCAAAATGTCCTATTATAAAGACACAATAAGGTTGAACAGATAAAATATATGAACAGTCCATGTAGGATATTCATATTTTCCCTCATCCCTTCCACAGTGAACTAGTTGGGGACGGATTTGCCCAGCCAATCAACCTATCAAAGACTGATGGGAAAATCCTGGACCACTTTGGGTTTCATTGTCACCCAATCTACCCCTCACAGATTTGGCAGTGTTCACCTTGTCCCCAGGGCTTCTATGGGACGTTGTGGGACAATTGCGTAGCCTGTCCACCAGGTACAGTTTATTACTGAAAATCGAACACTGTTTTAATAAATGGAAAACCTGGGAAACATTTAGATTGTTTAAATTAAATTTAGGGCTAAGCTAATTGGTTCTCTTTGTACGCATTTTGCTGTTTGTATGAGGTTGTTATTCGAGGTGCACAAGATCAAAATTTAACACAAAGCTGTGGTATCTACAGACTAAACGGGGAGCCAATCCTGAACTAGAATGCTGCATGTGAAAGTGGAAAACATAGTTCATTAAAAGAATTGTCTTTGTTTTCAGGTGGATTTTTTCAAGACGAAAGCGGGCAAGTTGCCAACGATGGCCAGAGTATGAACTGTCGCAAATGTAACAACGGGACCTTCGTCACTCCAATCGCCCACCCTGGTAAACAACCTGCAGATTGCACGGTGTGCCCGACGGGTACCAACAAGAGTCTCCATGCTGGCTTCCGCGCATGTCCGTGTGTGGATAATTACTTTCGTAGAGATCGGTTCGGTGAGTGTTACCAGTGCCCAGCGGAGGGACTCAACTGCTCAGGGGAGTATCAACACCTCCTGCCTGGCTTCTGGTGGACCTGGGAGTGGGACTTGAGTGACAACTTTCGATTATATGAACACTTTGTCCAAAACTTAGGCATAGAAAATGACTCTTATGATAAAACAACTCAGATTTTCTCGGGGGTATTACCCAAAGTGCATCCCTGTCCTAGGCGCGAGTCCTGTTTCGTTTTAGGAGATGGAATTAACGCCACTTGTCAGAGTGGTTATGAGGGTTGGCTTTGCACCCAATGCAGCACTGGGTATTACTCCTGGCTCGACAACTGTCTGGAATGCCCCTCTTGGCAGTGGTTCTTGCTGGAAGTCCTAGTCATACTTGTAGTGATAGGTGTGCTTATTGTCATCATTGTTTGGGATCTAAACAGGAATAGCAGGGGTGATCGGTCAGCAGTTGATAAGCTCCTTGCAAGGGCTAAAATTCTGCTCGGTTTCTACCAAGTTATGGGTGAGGTATTCTCCGCGCTGGATGAAATTAAGTGGCCAGGTGTCTTGAGAGAAGTTGGTTCACTTTTGCGACTGGTAGAAGCTGACGTCGTGAAGATAATCATCAGTCCACGATGTTACTTTCCCGACTTCACCTATCCTAATATTTATATCGAGTTCATATTTGGGCTGAGTTTTGTGGTGTTTGTTTTGTGTGCAGCGTTGTGTTGTTATGGTTTCACCACAATTTACTTGTTGATCAAAGAGCCATCGTCTTTCGAAATCACACGTACTCTAACAAAAACAAGGCAGAGGTGTAACCTGTTTGTTGTCATGCTGCTCTTCGTGTCCTATCCTAGTCTGTCAAGTGTGATATTCACGCTTCTTCCTCCTAGTTGTGACCTATTCTACTTGGATGAGAACGACGTATTTAATGTCACGAGGCTTAGATCTGACTACTCCATTGTTTGTGAAACACAACAGCATGTTGATTTTACCCACGCTGCCGAGGCAGCCCTGGCCTATGTTATTGGATTCCCGTTGTTGTTGTTTATCCTACTGTGGTGGATCGAAAAGCCTGGAGAAATTTTGTTTGTAAAGAAGTTTTTTAATGTGTGTGATTGTGCGGATTACAGTAGGCGCTCTAGCAGGACCGTTGAATCAGGAGAGCGAAGCCTGCTTGATTTTCCAGGGCAGGTTCCGAACTATCGAAGCATTAATGCGATCAATGGGCAGTCCATAAATGATAGCAGTCCACCCTGTGGGGCACCAGACGACGCACCACTTACTGCTACCGGAGAACAAGGCCGCGGCATGATCAGCTGGAAGAGCTTCCTATGCGAAAACTACAAGCCGCAGTTCTGGTACTGGGAAATCGTCGAGCTCGCCCGCAAGATCGTCCAGACGCTCTTTGTGTTGCTCTTCGGTTATGAGGATCCCTTCACACTGTTTGCAACCATCGTCATATCCGTGGCTTTCTTGCTTATCCATTCCTCAGTCAGGCCGATGAAGGATGATGTTGAGCACCGTCTACAGTTGTTTTCGCTGGGCTCCATCTTTTTAAACCTCTTGGTGGCGTCTTTGCTTCTGCTTCCAACTAACGAAGATCATTCCAGTAGTGAAATTAGAAAGGAAGTTCTTGCCGTCACGCTCGTTGCCCTGAATCTGAGCATCATTCTCTTTGTTTTAGGTAGGTACATGTGTTATCCCTTGATATTTCTTTCACACTACGGGTTCTTGGCTGTGCACCTTTCATTATGAGCTGCGGGTAATGGAAGTAGGCCTAATGGAGTATTGTTAACAGAACCATTACTATCATAATTAAGGTACAATATAATAAGGGACAAGTTTGGAATTGACATTTGGGGGGGGGGGGGAGGCTTGGGAGACATGCGGTGGATTTTTTTGGTGGATTTTTTTCATATTAAAAAAAGAGAGAAGATTCTGAATAGGCGGGCATACGGAGAAAAAGCCCTTAAAAAGAGGCGGGGTATCCAAATCCCTTTTTTGTTAGCTGAACAGCCAGAATCATTATTTCATTTATTATTATTATTCATAATTGTTAGATTTTATTACTTTTTAATTTGCGTTATTTTCCCAGTAAGCCTCATATGGTCTGGGGCAAAGGCTTTTTGGAGGCACGGATGCTGTGCTCGATTGGCGGCAGGTGTCGGTGGGCTGTGGCGTCAGTGCAATCGACCTCGCGTTTCAAGGAGCAATAGTGAAGACGGGAAACATGACGAGCTACGGAACTATGCAGATATACCCTACTCAGACATTGCAAAAGGTCATATTTGAATTACAATACAAAAAAGGTCAAATTCTGACAACCTTGCCTGGAGTTTTCGAAAAGCTTTTCACCTGAAAGTGCTCTTTTATAGGTTTTCCCGGTTATTTTAACACTTGTTTCACACGAATTCCCTTTATCGATACTTAATTTCGTCCGCGAACATTGCCAAGCTCAATTCTCAATTTGAATTTCAAAAAGTCACCACTAAATTTCATTAAGGTTCAGTATAATTCAAATTGTTAGCATTCCGATTCGTCCAAAATCTTTGAAATTCGTCTCGTGAAGCAATCGGCGTTGAATTGAAAAAGCAAATTCGTTTTTTGTCATTCGTTTTAATGTTCTTGTCGTTTACATGTGCTTTTAGACAGATTTTAATCTTAATATGTTCTCGCACTAAGGACAAAGACCAACACTTTATTAAAGTAAAACCCTATCCATACCAGAGTATGTCCATAGGCCCAGGAATAATAGAAATTCCCCTGTAATAATTGAAATAGTTGTGATGAATATATGGAGTTTTATGACTTGGAAAATCTTTTTGGGGGATCGTAATAACGTCTGGGGATGTGTATTATACAAATATTGAATGCTTCGAGTGGTGTAGTAAAACTAGCCTCCCGAGGTGATCCATGGACATTCTATTTTCCCAAGGCAAAGCCGAGGGAAAATAGAATGCTCCATGGATCACCAAGGGAGGCTAGTTTTACTTCACCACGAGATAAAGCATTCAATATTTGTTTTATAACACTTCACCCACAGATTCTGCTTGGTTTCAATATTTTAAATTACTTAAATCTGAACACAATTAAAATAAAATTCAATTTCAATACAAAATTGGTGGGAAATGTATTTCTCTCTTCCAAACCACCCCTTCCCGAAATGTTTGAACCCAACTCTGTGGCGCGCTCTACACAAAACGCGCTACGCTCAACGATCGACGCGCACACCAGCATGCATTTGTACACAAATACCGCGCCGAGGATATTATACAAATATTGAGTGGCTCAGCGTGGAATGGGAGGAATATTATCGCGAGGTAAAATCTGGACTTTTCCATTTCACGAGGCGAAGCCGAGTGAACTGGAAAAGTCCAGATTTTACCGAGCGATAATATTTCTCCCATTTCACAATTTAAAGCCACTTAATATTTGTTTTATATAACTGACATATAGATCTTTGTCATTTGATATATTTGAACCTTTTTTTTTTCAATACAAAACTGAAGGAAAATATATTTCTCTCTTCCAAACCACCCCATCACGAAAATGTTTGAACCTAACGCTGTAGCGCTGGCTCTTTGGAACAATACGCGCTTCGCGCAACGCTGAACGCGCACACCAGCATGCATTTGCACACAAATACCGCATCATGATCCTAACTGTTGAATAGGCCGCTTGCAGACGCGATCGATAATTGACGCGCGAAGGTGCACGACGCCATGTTATGGGACAAAACGTGCATGGATAGATATACTCCTGTCCCAAAACATGGCGTCGCGCGCCTTCGTGCGTCGATTATCGAACGCATCTGCAAGCGGTCTATAGTATTTCCCATTCCCCATGGGCGGATAGTACTTTTTGAGCAGCGGCGTGAATGGGAGCAATAACGAATGTCATGTGATGTGAGTTCCACCAATCAAATGACTAGGATCTGTATGTCAGTTATATAAACATAATTATATTATGCATAAGTACTGTGCAATTTAGGCTTTGAACAGATATTCATAAATACCTTAGACAGTTTACGCATTCCTTTTGGTCGAGAGCCCGTCACGTGGCCGGGTAAACGGATGATAAAGACATGGCTGGCTGATCTTAAACACTTTTCCAGTGTCACATGGAATTTGGACTCCCATGAAATCCGCTGCCTTTTAACGTTCCATTGGTTGAACGTTCACATTCCTCACGTGTGTATGCGCAATGTACTACCAGTGACACCGTATTTCGTGGTCCGAAATTCACACTACAATATCCCAGCTGCATTTTGCGCGACATCGCGCAGTACGCGCGACGCGCACGCCAATGTTCTTAAAAGGTAACGAGTTGTGGAGGGGAATTCCATGTTATAGTCAGAGAGGTGTTTCGTAAAACATGAAGTAAAATTGTTGAACAAATTGCTTGGCAACGTCTAGTTTTTGACATGTTTTGATTTTTGGACCAAAAAGATTTTTTTTTACCGAAAAGGTATTTATGAATGGGAATAAATATGTTTTCGGTCGGTATTAAACACTCTGTTTAAGGCCGGTGGGAGACTGGATGTGTGATGATTACCCGAGGCGAAGCCGAGGGTAATTATCACATATCATAATGCCTCCCGAACACACATTTATTAAGGGAATCAATGTGTGTTTCAGAGTTATTATAACACTGTTTAAAAGCGGTGTGAGTCTGGATGGGTGATAATTATCCGAGGCGAACCGGTGTGAATCTGGATGGGTGATAATTACCCGAGGCGAAGCAGAGTGTTTAATACCGACGAAACACATATTTATTCCCATTCATTAATACCTTTTTGGTCAAAAAAAATCTTTTCGGTCCAAAAATCAAAACAAGTCAAAAACTAGACGTTGTTAACCATTTTTTTCAACAATTTTACTTCATGTTTTACGAAACACCCCTCTGCGTGTGCGTCGCGCATTCCACCTCCATGGTCGCGCGTACTGCGCGATGTCGCGCAAAACGCAGCTGGGCTGGCGTGGTGTGAATATCGGACTATGAAAATAATGATTCACTGGTAGTATTGCGCATGCATACGTGGGGAATTTGAACGTTCAACCTATGAAACGTAAAAAGCTCCGGATTTCATGGGAGTCCAAATTTCATGTGACACTGGAAAAGTGTAAGACCGGCTAGCCATGTCTTTATCATCCGTTTAAGACCGGCCACGTGACGGGCTCTCGACCAATAGAAATGCGTAAACGGTCTTAAGTAGTTATGAATCCCTTATTAAAAGTGGAACTATCTGATCAATAGAATGGCTCATTTAAACTACACAGTCCTTAACATTTTGCTTGAAATTGACATTATGCTGTGTAAAAAGAATGCTGTGTAAACTTTTTTTTTAAGAATAGGCACAGACATTTTCAACTTAAATTCAATTCAATTCAATTCAATTTGACTTTATTATCCCTGACGGGAAATTCCATTGGCCTTTTACATTTTAACACATTAATGAACACTTACAAATTTACAAATTTAGGTATGCTAAATAGAATCCGTGACTATGTTCCCCAAAGCAGTCTGCATTCTCTTTTTGTTAGCTTAGTTTTGCCATCTTTAGATTATTGTAGTACTGTATGGGGAGGAAGGTACACATCACACGACAATATTCTTAATAAATATTTGAAAAGAGCCGCTCGGATAATCCTGAAGTGTGCATTCTTAACGCCTTCAGCCGATATGTTTGCTAGTCTTACTTGGATGTCATTTGCTGAAAGAGTAGAGTATAAAGAGGCTATTCTTGTCTACAAATGTATAAACAAAATTACTCCTTTGTATATGACAAATATGTTTACACCACTTATTCAGATTCGTGAAACGAGACAATCCACTGATATGGCATTGAGGATTCCTTTTGCAAAAAACCCCCCAATGTTATGCCTCAAGCTTTGCTGTAACTGGTACAATCATCTGGAATAATTTACATGTGCAGTTGAGAACCATGACTTCACTAGCCTCATTCAAATCTGACCTACGTAAAACGTTCAGTCAGTAATAATATTTCTGCAAATAATTATTTGTGTATTTGCAGCTGTCTTCTCTGATTATACAAATCTAGATTTGTGCTGATCTACGGAGTTAGCAAACTTGGTTGCCATAATAATAAGAAGATAATAAGGAGCTGGATGGGAATTTCCCCGTGTTTTCTCCCAAAAGGGTTTTCTTGGGGTTTTCGCCCGTCCCGTAATCAGCGAATATAGTTACAGCAATAATTTGTTTCTTTTCTTGATGTTACAAGTTAGATCCATTTTTTTCGTGTTCACTGAATCAACTTTATAGTAAAGCATTCACACTGTACATGTAGTTATAATAGTTTTAAAATATATTGTATTTATATATTTGCTTAACACCTAAGCATAATTCAAATCATGTTTTATTTCACTGTATTGAATTTTTTTTGTATTTGTAATGTATTGTATAATTATACATGTTATTATTTATTGTATGCAGGGCCCCAATGGAAACCAGTTTTAAACTGTTTGGGCATACCCTGGGTAAAGAAATGGAATAAATAAATAAATAAATAATAAATAGTATTACACAAAAATCACAATACATGTACTTCACTAAGAAGAGAGATATAGAAAGTTATTAAAATTCAATACAGATAAAATAATGCGCATAACCTCAAACAAAAGGCCTGTTTAAAATTTAAATTCAATCCTGTGTTGGTCTCTGTGTAAATCTTGTATAAGAATAATAATCAACTTTCCAACTGCGTGTTAAAAATCTGAACAGCTGAGGGGACAAATGTACTGGCATACCGCTTTGTTCTAATCCTCCGCTGTAAAAGACGATTGCTCCTTGCACTTCTAGTGAATTTTTCGTACAAAGGGTGAGTTTCATCTGGCATAATAATTTCCATCTTGTTCAGCATCAGAGACTTATACATGTTGTCAACCATTGATAGATCAGTACCAATTATTTTGTTCGCTTGCTTAACTACCCTATCCAGTTTAGACCGATCCAGTGCTCGCATGTTTCCAAAGACACATATAAGACAGTGTGTAATATATAATACTTTGCAAGGCAGACTTGTAAAACATTTGTAAAATGGTATTGTCCACATGGAATGAATTCAGTTTCCTTAAAAAGAAAAGCCGCTGCTGTAACTTATTGCACTATGATTTACCACATTTATCAAAAAGCAACTGATTGTCAATCTCAACTCCTAAGTATTTAAACTCAGTGACTCTCTCAAGAGGTTCTCCTTTGATCTCAGTGGCCGGGATGTATGTTTTGTTCCTACGAAAATCAAAAACCATATCCTTTGTTTTCTTTGTTTTTCTCTAAGTGGTTTTTGTCACACCACTTAACAAATTCAGAAATTTCCTGATCGAATGATTCTGTGCTATCCTTTTTCGCAAATAAATGACCAACCAGTGCAGTGTCATCTGCATATTTAATTAGCTTATGATTCGTGTTCAAAGATCTACATTCATTAGTGTATAGTGTGTACAGAATGGGAGAAAGAACACAACCTTGTGGGGCACCAGTACTTATATAACGGATGGTTGAGAGAGTGGAATTTAACCTAACTTGCTGTCCCCTATTTGTTAGGAAATTATTGATCCACTGTGTGATATTGGAGTTGACAATGAGATCTAACAGTTTCTGAACCATCAAGTACGGCTGAATTGTGCTAAAGACACTCGCAAAGTCTACAAAAAGAACTTGAGCAAAAGCCCCTGCCTTCGCCAGGTGTTCACAGATACCATTAATCAATGTAAGAACTGCGTCCTCTGTATTCCTTCGTGGTCGATACGCAAACTGATAATCATCAGGGAACCCTTAACTTCATTAATTAACCTGTTCTGAACTATTCTTTCTAAATATTTCATGGGTACCGAGGTAAGAGCTACTGGACGAAGATCATTCATGACTTTAGGGTGGGCGTTTTTTGGAAT